AGACTCGGGTCAACACGCCATTACCAACTTGCCAGTTGAAATGATAGCGGTATCGCCGTTTTCAGTAAATATCCGGATTTCCCGTTCTGCCGGCGCCAACTTTCCGCGCCAAAACTTTTGCCGGCGACCAATCTCGGCGCCCCGTGTGTTTGCCGTGTCCTCAGGTGCGCGCTCAAGGGGCGGCCGCCGGGGCCAGGAAGGGGGTCAGACAGCGCTGCCTGCCTGCCGGGACTCGGACAGCGCCACGTTGTCAGATGTCAGCAGGCCGTCCTCGTCCTGCCGACTCCCGCTCGGTGACAGCTCTGGCCGCTCTGGCCGCTCTGGCCGCTCTGGCCGGTGTCACGTGACACCCAATCGCCCACCGCCCCGCCCGTGCGGCCCACGGCTCGGATCAACATTGCTTAAACAAAAGCGAGCCAATTGGGAGCGCGCGCGAATCCTACTTTTTTTTTTTTTTTGTACATCCGTCCACCCAGCGCGTGGCCGTTCGGCATGCAGTGACAAACTGTGCGCGACGGCGGGAAGCGAAGCCGCAGATGAAAAAGAGGAACAGGAAAACCGGCGAGCGGATGGAAAAACCCTCAATGGCATTTTTGCCGGCGAAGCACTTAAACTAAGTTTGAAAAGAGGCGCGCGGCGATGCGAGTAAATCGATGGGGCTTTGGCGGCGCCGGGGAGAGAGAGAGAGAGAGAGAGAGAGAGAGAGAGAGAGAGAGAGAGAGAGAGAGAGAGAGAGAGAGAGAGAGAGAGAGAGAGAGAGAGAGACTGCGAGAACTCACTCGGGTGCTGTTTGGGGACGAGAGGGCTTGCGAGGCCGCAGAGCTAATTGTGGACTTGAAGCAGCACCAATGGAGAAGCCGGAGCAGGCCGAAGGGGACAAGGACAATGAAAACTTAATCACGCTGATATCTGCTCCGGAGCTCCGAAGACAGCGTGGCGGAGCGGGGGCGTCGGGACCGCAGCGAATCCCCCCGTGGCAAAGCCCCCGCCCCCGACGAGGCCCCCGACGGGACGCCCCTCCAATCACAGAAAATCAACTCGGTCGGCAGCGGCGCAGGCGAAGCCCCCCGTGCAGTCTCTCTCGCTCACACACACACACACACACACACACACACACACACACACACACACACACACACACACACACACACACAGAGTGGCGGTTGGCTTTGCTGCCCGACTTGGTTGCTGACCAGATAAAGCCCCATTCGCCACCAATAACTTGTCATGAAAAGTGCGGCGATGGCCGCTCTATCGGCGGCAGCTGCGTGCAGCGGCGTGCGTCGCCCCTGCGGTGTGCGGGCTGGGCCGGCCCGCCGGACGCGGGCGTCGGCGGGTTGCCTACCCGGCCGTCGTCGGGCGCTTGGCGCTGGCGGGGCGCCTGGCCTGTGGCGCGCTAGCGTGATGCGGACTGCCGGCGCCGCGCCCCGCCACGCCACGCCCCATGCTGCGGCTGATGTCGGACCCTCCACTCGGTTCGGCCGGGCCTTCAGTCGGCCAAGACTGCCCCGGGCGGCGTGCGGCGTTGGCGCGGCGTGCTCGTGAGCGGCCAAACTTTGGAGAGGAAGCAAAGTCCCGGGCGGGCGGGCGGAAGAGGAGGACGCGGACACGTCGCCGACAGCCTGCAACCTGCCCGGACCGGCCCGCACCGCGGGGGCGGGGCGGCGGGGCCTCCAGGCCGACAGCGTCACCCGGGAGGACGGCGTCGACAAGACGAACGCCATCCATTCCGCCGAGTGGCCCGCTGCCCCGGTTCCGACCTTGGCGACGTGACGGCAGCGGCGGCAGCGCGCACAAACCGAAAGCCTTCTCGGAATTTCATTCCGCCGGAGACACTCACTGCTCCCCGGGCTGACAGGCCGAGGCGCGGCCGAAAGAAGAAAAAAAGGCGACTTGAATAAAACCGAGACTTGAACCCGCGCCGGGACCGTCGACGGCGAGGTCGGGCACGCCGACAAGGTTTCCAAACAGGTGTCGCGTCAGGGATGCTGCTTTCCAAGGGAAATGAGCCCCGGTCATCCTGAATGCCTTCAAAGAAACCCAGCTTCCTGTCCTCCAGTACACTGCCAGCGAAAACAGCAGCGATAGCGATAAACTACTGCCGTCGTTACAAATTGAAACCCCCCTCGTCCCACATCGAGTCCACATTACATTATTGTTCCCCCTGCCGGCCCGATACGGGGGATGAACCAGACGAATCCCCACAGCACACACACGCGCGCGCACACGGCCGGCGGGTTTCAGAGGATATCGACTCCAGGCCATTGTTCGTCCTTCAATGTGTGTTGATGTTGATACCCCGATTTTCCAGTTGCGTAAGCCCCCAGTGCGGACCCTGCGGCCTGCATGGCGCCGCCCGCCCTGAATAGCTAATGTAAGAGGATTGTGGGCGCTACGCTGCGCCACGCGAAGCAGAGCGAGGGGCTGTGCAAGATGACGTACCTGTTAGGCTGCAGCAGCGATTCGCCTCCGGCATCTCCGGTCCACTGCAGAAGGAAAAACAGAAACGTTAGGCTGAATGCAAGCGCCGTTTCCGTGGATGAAAAGTAAAACAGCGCGCAGCACACCAACCACGCCACCACTTTGATGACGAAAACTCGGCGGACTACGGCGACACATGCTCGTAAAACAAAGCGGGACTGGAAACTCAACCGCGGCGGCGACTCGGCTTGGTGGCGGCGGTCACGCGACGCCGGCCGCGCAACTTAGTCGCTATTGGCGGCGTGCCGCGGCGTGCCCCTCGCTTCGCGGCCCGGGCCCCGCGGCGGGTTGGCGTTGGCCGCCACCAGGACGCCGACGACGCCGCGCCTTTTTACTTTTACGGCCGGTCATGACCCCTTTTTGCAGTCCAGCACCGTAAGGCGCCGGTGAGGCGGGGCAGTGCGGGGCAGTGCGCCCCGCGGTCACCGGGACACTGAAACTTTGTCCTGGAGGACGACAGCGCCGCCTGGGCCGCCTGGGCCGCCAGCCAGGCAGCCTTCACCTCGCCGATGACCCTATTAGGCCGGCCGGATGGGCTGCTGTCGGCTTCTGCAGGCTGAGATGTCGTTTTTCTTTTTCTCTCTCTCCCCCCTCCCCCCCCCCCCCCCCCCTCCCTTTTCTCTCTCTCTCTCTCTCTCTCTCTCTCTCTCTCTCACGCGGCGCGAGGACCACGTGTGTGTTTTCTCTGCGCGCGCTTCTCGTTTACTTCCGCTCACTTGCGCAATTTGGCCGCAGCACGCTTACCTGCCGGAAAACGCAAAACTCCGGAGGGATACCAAAAGCGGCTCACTGCCCCCTCCCACGCTCTCTCTCTCTCTCTCTCTCTCTCTCTCTCTCTCTCTCTCTCTCTCTTTTTTCTCTCTCTCTCTCTCTCTCTCTCTCTCTCTCTCTCTCTCCTCTCTCTCTCTCTCTCGCTCTCACACACACACACAGCTGCCCTTCCACGCCACGGCACCGCAGACGATGAGCAGCCGCGTTTGTTGTTTCACAAACTCCTTGTTGGTTCTTTTTTTCCAAAAGGGCTGTTGAATGCTCTTTCCGACAAGCCTGCTCGCAAGGATGAGGGAGGAACCCCTCGACTTTCCCAACTCCCCCGCGGCTCCTGCGCCGCTTTTTACAAGAGCGCCCCCAGGACAACGCGGCGGCGGCGGCCGAGGCGGCGCCGTCCTTAACAACAAGTTGAAACTTGGCGGAATCTAGCCGCCATTACTCAGTATTAAAAAGATGTCGACATCTTTGAAGTGCGCGGCGCGGAACGGCGGAGTGGCCTGGGTGGCTCGGCTCGGCGCCGCCAGGCCCCGCCAAGTTGGGCAGCGTGACGGCGTTGGCGTCGGCCGCGCCGCGAACACTCTGTCCGCCGTCAACACCGCCGCCATCCATTCCGAACGCACGCGGCGCGCGGCGAGCAGCCGGCCTCCGAACGACGCTCTCGTCGCCTCGTCTCTCGCAGTGTGCCGCGGCGGCGCGAGAGAGACGCCAGCCGAGCCATGTTCGGAGCCGGGCTACTTCTGGGCCTCGACGACGACGCTGCGCCGCTTATTGCGCGGTTCGGAGGCCCCGGCCGTCCCGGCCGTCCCGGCCGTCCCGGGCGTCCCGGCGGGCCGCACAGCTTGTCAGCAGCAGGAGGGGGCCGAGGAGGGGGAGGGGGCTGACCTCGTGGCGCGCCAGAGTGCTGTAAGTGGGAGCGAGAGAGCGACATCCCGGCGCGGCAATGCCAGGGCAATGCCGGCACCCTGGTGCCACTGCGTGCCACTGCGGGACGCTCAGTCACTCGCGCCCACTCTGTGGCGACCGCCGGCCCGGTAGGCAACCCCATGGACTTCCGTAGGCGAGGGGTTGCCTACCCGCAGGCGCTCACCGCCGCCCGGAGTGGCCGCGGCAGCGGCCGGGCCCAGGCCGCACCGCCGGCTGCCAGCTAGGGCTTGCCGCCCTGCAGGACAGACCGGCCGGCGTCCTGGGGCCCGGAGTCACTTGGCCGCCGACCGGGACCCGAGCACATCGCGCGTGCTCCGGCCCCTCGACTCGCGACGCGACCTAACCTATCAATTGTATATAACCCGAAATAGAATAAGTGTACAAAGTGTACCTACGCTCTCTCTTCATTTCGCATGGTCACGAGTTCCTTACAGTGTGACCCGACGTGATCAAACGCGAAAGGAACAGTGGTCCACGCCGCCCGCGAGGGACGCCATCGACGCCGCCCGCGCGCCAAGGCACCCAGCGACGCTCCCCGACGTCAGCTCCGCGACGCCGCACCTGCGCCGAAGATCTCCCACCACCTCACCTGAGAGGGCCCGCCTCACCTGGATTGCGTCACAGCGAGCCCGCTCCGCCGAGCCGGAGCTGACGCCGAGACGCCGCACCACGGAGACGCCCCAACGCCGCGGCCGCTGACGCGGCAGCGACCTCTAACGCCGTGCAGTGATAAGGGACCAGTGACCAGTGACCAGTGCAGTGCCCCCCCCCCCCCCCCAGTGCGAAATTCGAAGCCCCTGCCGCCATCGGGAGGACACCGGTACATGCTGACCGTCATCGACCGATGGACCCGGTGGCCCGAGGCCATCCCCCTCCAGAAGGCCGACTCCGAGGCCGTCACCGCGGCCTTTCTGCTCCACTGGGTGGCCCGCTTCGGCGCGCCCCAACACCTAACATGTGACCGAGGTTCTCAGTTCCAGAGTCACCTGTTCAAGGCCACGCTCCGACTCCTGGGTACGCAGCAACACAGCACCACGGCCTACCATCCGCAGGCCTCCGGCATGCTCGAGCGATGGCACCGCCCCCTCAAGGCGGCCCTGATGTGCCACGAGGACGCGTCCTGGGCCACCTCCCTGCCGTGGGTCCTACTCGGCCTCCGGTCCTCCCTCAAGGACGACCTCGGCGCGTCCACGGCAGACCTCGTCTACGGGGAGCCGCTGCGCTTGCCCGGTGCCCTGCTCACCAACACCGCCGGGCCGCCCCCCGCCGACGCCATGCCGGGTCTGCTCGCCCGCATTCGCCGGCAAGTAGAGCTCCTGCGCCCGCAGCCCGCCGCCCGCCACGGCCGCAAACCCGTCTTCACCTTCCCGGAGATGGCCACCGCCACCCACGCCTACCTGCGCGACGACACGGTGCGCGGCGCCTTGGCGCCGCCGTACTCGGGCCCACACGCCATCCTCGCCCGGGACGCCAAGACGGTGACGCTGCAGCTGCCACGCCGCGTCACCACGGTGTCCGTCGACCGCGTGAAGCCGGCCTTCACGCTCTCCAGCGACCCCGCCGGCACTGGAGTGCCGGCCACGATGCCCGGCCCCGCCCCCGCCGGCACGGGAGTGCCGGCCGCGACGCCCGCCTCCGCCCCTGCCGGCACGGGAGTGCCGGCCACGACGACGACCCCGCAGCGCACCCGTTCCGGGCGCATCTCGCGCCCCCCGGCGCGCCTCTAAGCAGACGACGGGCTCCGCTTCTCCGTGGGGGGCCCCTTGTGGCGACCGCCGGCCCGGTAGGCAACCCCATGGACTTCCGTAGGCGAGGGGTTGCCTACCCGCAGGCGCTCACCGCCGCCCGGAGTGGCCGCGGCAGCGGCCGGGCCCAGGCCGCACCGCCGGCTGCCAGCTAGGGCTTGCCGCCCTGCAGGACAGACCGGCCGGCGTCCTGGGGCCCGGAGTCACTTCGCCGCCGACCGGGACCCGAGCACATCGCGCGTGCTCCGGCCCCTCGACTCGCGACGCGACCTAACCTATCAATTGTATATAACCCGAAATAGAATAAGTGTACAAAGTGTACCTACGCTCTCTCTTCATTTCGCATGGTCACGAGTTCCTTACAACTCCGACGCATAACGGCGCCCGATGATGGGCTGCCCGCGGGGCGGGGCGGGGCGGGGCGCGGTTGGCGCCGCGCCGGCCCGGGGATCCGGGCTAAGAGGGATCAACTATTTCGGTGAGGTGATGGCCAAAGGCATCCAAAGGCGGCCAAAGGAGAAAGGTCGTTGCCTTGAGGTGGCATCGACCCTTTCGCGCCTTCGCGCGAGCGGCGGCGCGGCGGCGAGGGGTAGGGGAGGTGTCTGCTCTGGGTCTGGCTGGGGCCGCTGGGATTGTCTTTTATTCACACTGCTGATTCCTGCTGGGCTGCAGCGCCGCGAGAGCGTCGGACGGTTTCCAAGGAGGTCACCAATCCGACGATCCAGAGTCAAAGCACATGACCGATTTCGGCCAAATCGGGCGCCGCGCCACCCGCGATCATCCTTCATGCATAACTTTTCTTTCTCCAGAGTTTTACGCGATACAAAAAAAATGATGTGAATTGCGAAAGTGTGATGTTGGCGCGCCGCGCTCCCGACCCGCTGAGGACATTGCCGCGGGACCTTTACACATTACACATGCCGAATGTTTGAACCGCGCGGCGGCAGCCAGCAGACGTCGTGTCACTCCACTCTGCCTCGGCAAACGCTGGCGACCTTCAGGCTCCAGGCCCCGCCGCGTCCCGCCCCCGAGTCACTCACCACCCAGGGGACGCGCGGGAACACAATCCAGCGGCACGCGGGGCCTTCTCCATTATCAATCGAAACAGGCAAACAAGACCGTGTTCCAGGACCGACGCCACCGCACGGCCGGCGAACGAACCGAAAGCCTTTCCGTTTGTTCGTGTGTATTTGCTTCCCTCGGCCGCGTTTCCGGGGCGTCGTTCGTCGCACGCGGGGCTCGGCCGGGTCGTACAGTGTACAGCACGACGCCGACGGCGCCTCGCGCGTTGGAACGAGCAGCAGCGACGTCGCGGCGCAGCCATTCTCTTTGCTCCGGACCGACAAAGGGAGCGAACGTAATGCTGAAAAGTTGAACCAGCCAGCAGCGCGCGGCCTCGCCGCACCGCCACGCCGCGTTCAGTAAGTTATCGCTGTTTTCCTTGCGCGCCCCGCCGCCCCGCCGGACGGCGCGAGTTACTGCACCGCTTAAAAATAACTGAAGTTGACGCCCGCGCGGTGTCATGTTCGTCATGCCGCGAGGCCGCGAGGAGGAGGTGTGAGCTGCGCGGGGGCGCTACACTCTAAATATAGGGTGCCCAGAAACTGGGCGCCTTTGTCGCCCGCCCCACTTTTTAGGGTGCCAAATGTCGCCCAGTTTCTGGGCACCTTTGTCGCCTAGTCTTGGGTTGGACAAACCATAAGGAACCTGCCTTCACCCATGGCTCAGCAGCGACTAAGGTGCCAAAGGTGCCCAGAATCTGGGCACCTTAGTCGCCCAGGAACTAGACACCTGTGCATGCTCTGCCATGGGAGAGGGCCGGTTACTGCATGATTAGTCCACCCCGAGACTGGGCGACAAAGGTGCCCAGAAACTGGGCGACATTTGGCACCCTAAAAAGTGGGGCGGGCGACAAAGGCGCCCAGTTACTGGGCACCCTACATTTAGAGTGTAGCTGCGCTGGCTCGCGGTCCCGAGGGGCGGTCCGCGCCGTTCCGCGCCACCCAGCGACGAGAGGGTGTTAAAATATTTCACGAGCGACAACGTCCTGCCGCGCGGCGCAGGCTGCTGCAGCTTGGCGGCGCCGCCAGAGCGCCCGGCTACAGGATGACGAGCAGTGTGTCGCGGTGTGTGCCGGGGCCAACTAATCAGCCAACAAGGGGCGCAAACAAAGTTGGCGGACCTTTTTGGCTCCGCTCCGTCTCTGCCTGCACCTGGCCGCCCCAGCGGCCCTGGCCTGCCCCTCGCCCGGGGACGTTGTCCGCGTCACGATTGATTCCGCGTCCGGCGTCCGCGTCCGACCTCCTTTTACGCCACCTCCCTCAGTCGGCTGCGAGCCCGCCCGCCCCGCTAGCGCACCTGACACAGCTGACTGCGCGCGGCCGGCCCAGCAGCCCCGCACCGAGCCCCCCGCCAGGCGGAGGCTCACGTCCACCCGCGGGCCGCGGGGGCTGCGGGGGCCATGTAGGTCACTAACATGCATCGCCGGACAAAAGCCCCAGAGAAGCGTACGGTGGGTGGGCCGGCCCCGCGCCCGCCCCGTCCTCGCGAGGCAAAAACACGTCGCCGATGTGGAACCGGTGCATTGTGGCCGCTGCAGCCGTGCAGGCGCTGCCGTGGCGCAGCCGCGCGCCGCGGAACATCAAAGGGGCGGAAAAGCGGAGGCCGAAATACGACGCGCTGGTATAAAAATGACACGGCGCAGCACGCTTCACGCTCGCGCGGCGCCGAGCGCGATTATAATGCAAGCCGCCGGGTCAGCGAACCTGGACACCGTCCGGGAAATTTCCACCGCGAGCGCAGACTCGCTTAGCGCCGGGAGACACCGAAAAGGAAGCGCGCCTGCGGCGCAGCCTGCGGCGTGAGGCCAAACGAACCGCGCACTGGCCAAACAAAATATCCGGCGGCTTTCCCTGCGAGGGCGACGCGCGCAACTCGAATTAACGCGCGCCATCCGAACAAGGAAACAAATCTAACTTTAAACACGGAGCCGCCGCGCGCCGCGCGAGACGAATGGGGTTTGTAGGATCCGTCGCAGCGAGCGAAGCACAGCGGCACGGCAAAGCACTATCCGGGGCTCCGGCGTCGCTCCAGCGAGGCGCTCCAGAAGCCGGCGGCGCGGCAGCGTGGCATGTCAACACGGGCATACATTCCTCAAGATTTGCGAGACAGGGCCGCAACGGAGGACAGGTCGCTAGGCCTCCTGGCCGCCAGCTCTGTCTGCCTGCCTGCTGCGGGCTCAGGAGGATCTCTGCCGCCAGCTCGGTCTGCCCCGCCGCCCCCGGCCGCCCCGTGCGGGCCAGGGAGCCACGGAGGGTCGCGGGGAGGTTGTGTCGAGATATGTACACAGTGGAAGGGGCAGGGGGTTCCAATCTGGGCGGGCCCCGCCGTCGCCCACTCGAGAGATGCCAGCGAGGTCGGGGAGGCGCATTTATATTGAGGTAGGCTGCGCCGCTTCGACGTGCAGCTGAGTATTAAATTCGCCGACAGCCCCGCAAACATCAGCGAAGTAGGACACTCGTATGCTAATTTACAGAACCCCTCCGAAAAGTTGATGAAAAATTCTTGCGGCGCTGCGCCTTTTGCTGAGCCAGTTCGACTTGGTCCCGCTGCTCCCGGAGTGCGACTGTCCGTCTCTCTCTCCGTCTCCCTCCCTCCAGGCGCTCGATGGCGCCTTTGTGCCGCGGGCCTTTCACCGCCGTCACACAGTGGCGCTCGCAGTGGCGCTCGCAGTGGCGCTCGCAGTGGCGCTCGCAGTGGCGGCCTGGGGACTGATTCCGTGCAGCGCTCCGACGCTCCCCGTCTCTCTCGGACGCGGGCAGAGCCGAGCAGAGCACCCCACCAACGCGAGAGAGAAAGGAGAGCGGCGGCGCGCGACCGCGGCTAAATTATTCCATTAACTCCCTTCTTGCATTTCGTGCACCTCCGTGATTCCAGCGCCGTTTGACGGGGAGGCCAACGCCCGGTCGGCCGAGTCAGTGCTCCCTCACACTCACTTCCCAAGCCACATCACACTTCCCCGGACGGCGCACGCCGGCCAGTGCAGCGGGCAGTTTCACAGGCGAATCACGAAAAACCCTTAGAGCGTGATTAGTAAATCATCAACAGTGGTTCGTCCGTGCGTGCGTTCGGCGCGCGGCCGGCCCGCCCTGTGCGGTGACTTGACGACTGTTGGGCTAATGGCAGAGCCGTGTTCTCTGGAAGGGCCGGACAGCGCTGGGGCTGGAGCGGGCTGGAGGCACGGCGGACAGCACCGCACCACGCCTTCAGGCCGACTCCGGCCGGACCAACCCTGGGGTTCGAGGATCCGTCCTTCCGAAATTGTCGACGCGCAGAATTTTCGCGGTGTGGTGGAGGGAGTGCTGCGCTGGCTTCACCTGTGTCCGGCAGCCCCGCAGCACGCGCCCCCGCGCACTCAGCCCGTGCGTCTTGTCACGCGCGCTCACCCGGAACACGCAACGAACCATTTAGCAACGAGCCCGACACGACGTCGCCGCTTGTAGCGCGCCGTGTCCGTACACTGTACACGCAGGTCGCCGTTCAAGACATCAGCTGCACGGATGTTCAGGTACGTCTCCGTGCGAGACATCAGGGCTGTCCTTTCCACTCTGATCAGGTACGTTTTCATGCAAGACATCAGTTGCAGGATTGTCCTTTTCTGATCAGGTACGTTTTCATGCAAGATGAAGGTACAACCCTGCAGTTGCAGGGTTGTACAGGTTGTCCATTCCATTCTGTTTAGGTACGTTTTCCCGGCTGACTGCCGGTTAATCAAACCGCTACCCATGTCACAAAGCTCAGTTCCCGGAAACCAGAGCA